ACTCATCTTCTGAATGGCACAAGGCCAGACTTTTGCTGTGTTCCCAAACAACAGGAGGTGAATTTAATCTTGTCACTGAAGTCAATGGTTAAAATCAAATGAAAGTTGAAAAGGTTATCTTAAGAATCAATTATTAAACCATTTCTTACATAAAACACAACATCACAACATCCCACCACTTAAATCTCAAAAAAATTCTAAATGGAAATGGATAATTAACCACGTGGTCTATTATTTCTTTTTACCACCCCATCTTCACTTCTTTTAACTGAGATTTGAGGAGGTCTTGTCTCATATTCCAATCAATAGATAAGGGAATCTAAATGATATGTTATCCAACATTTTATACATTTGATACATTACTTAACTCAACATGATTTTTCCTTTACCCATTATTTTTCTTGATGTTCCTTTTAAAACAATTTCAACAACATTAAAGAACTACGTTACTTTGAGACAATAAATGCATTAATAACCTTCTAAAGTGGGGCAGAGCAATGTTCTGGGATAAAATAATGTCCCACTGAGCCACTATTCTATACTACAATGTACAACTCTATAAAAGGAGACAAGCATCCTGCAGAATGGCCTAAATGACATCAGCCTCCGACTGGGTCCTGACAAAACCCTCCAACAGCTGAGTCCCCGTGATGGAGATAGACTACTGATCATTACATTGGTGTGATACATTTTATCACTTGCTTGTCTTGAAGTCTGCTGTAACCTTTTCCTTTTTCAATCATAAAACAGTGTTATCACATTTGCCACTGATTTTTCCTTACATTGATGGCATTATTTTAATGTAAAATCAATGAGCCCATAATTTGTGTTAATAAGTGTAAAGTATGTGGATCAGATTTGTTAAACCAGAAGTCTATGACAAGACTGTGGCTCTACTGGTTTGAACTTACAATAATTAAAGGAAAAAAGATAGCACTTTAGACTTGAAACTTATATGCATGGCTACAGCAATAAATTATGAGCCTTTATTGCTTTAGTCTCATTGCAAATTTTTATTGTAATCAGACTAAAACTATAGGAGGAGTAGCCTTTAGAAAAAAAAATCACAGAAATATCTATTTATAGTGATCATGGCAACACCATTCATCAAAACTAAGAATCAATTACTAGAATTATGTATTTTAATTAGTGTATTCTACTTGTGTACCAAGTTTTATTGAATCAGACCAAAACTGCAGGAGGGATAGCATTAATGTGAAAGAATTTCACAAAAATATGATTTTTAGAAACCATGGCAACACCATTCACTGAAATATTAAAAAACAGATAAATAGAATTGTGTATCTTAGTGTAGTCTACTTGTATACTATGTAATATTGAAATTGGACCACAACTGTAGGAGGTGTAGCACATTAAAAAATATATATTTACAATTTTACAGAGAGACAAATTGACAAATGATGGACACCTTACTGAATCACATAAGCACTTCTCGTCTCAAACCAGTAGTGCTAAAATTTATCTTTTGGGGGGAAAAAATCTGTGCCTTAAAGTGAAGATACAGTTTAACTTTGGTATCTTGAATACCTTGGATATGCTAAAGTGAGATGGATGTCTCAACGACTTTCTCTTTATGAATTTTAACCTCATTATCCCAAATCCTTGGATATCTTGAAATTTTTCTCAGTCCCATCGAGTTCATGTTAATGAGATTTGATTGTACTTGCATTACAAGTGCTTGGTTGCAAAAAAATATTTGATTGTGCATATTGTTACTGAAAGATACATCAAATGTCCACGTGACACCTGTTAGATAACCAGGTGAAAATTGCCAGACAAGTATGCTTTTTTTTATCTCAGAAATTGGTTTCATACCTGAATACTGTAAACATCACTGACCTCATGTTCATGTATTGTATTACTATGTACCATATATGGCTACAGCTTCAGAAGTTGCCAAACTGCATCTAAATTAACCGAATTTCCTTTTTTCCGTGAGATCTGAGGTTTTGAATTTTGCATTTTTCAGAATCACAAAACTTAATTGAATCAAGAGGAAAAATACATTGTCTGCCAAATAAATGTTTTTGTAAAAGTATACTTTCCTCTGACAAAAATGCTAAAAGTTACAAACCATACAACTTTAATATAGTAAAGTCATACAGTTGAACTTAAATTTAGGAAAGACACAGTTGAACTTTGATCAAATATCTCAAACACTGACATGTGGAATATACACTATAGGGATACACGGTGGGAAGGTTTTGATGTTATGAATTTAGATTTCAACTTTGGTATCTCAAACACTAAGACATTTTGAGGTTTTTGACGATCTCATCTTGTTTTGAGTAATCAATGAATTTTTTTTTTTTATTTTACTCCTTTCAAGACATTGATGCACATTGAATGTAGAAGAATATAACTTTTTCTCTTATAATACTTGTTGATTTGTAGTATGAAAGCTACACATATCCATTTATTTCTGGTTTTTAATATTTGATTCATTTCATTTGTTCTTGGCACATTTCTCAACATGACTCAAACTGTAGACCAGCCCATACATTTCATTAGAGTACCTCTGCTTAAAAATTAAAATCCCATCAAATTAGAGTCCTGGGAATCAATAGCTCTGAGAGTCCCTTACAATGACAGCGCTTTGTCTGGACATCGATTTTCAACTAGGTCAATATTTGTTACATTAATGGGACAAAAAGACAATGAGTGCATTCTCGTCAAAGGAGGATTGAAAATCTACCAAATATTGCCATTGATTCAATAGTACTGTACAATGACAAACACGGGATAATCTTCATTTCACCGATGGATATGCAGTCAAGGGACAAAAACTGGAAGCTCCATGCAGTTTTCGTCAATAAAAGAATTCGATAAGGCAGAAGTACAATGTGTTTGTTGTTTTATAATGTCAGAAGATACGACATGAAATATCAAATTATGGTTCCATGCTGATGAGCAAATGAAAATGTCCTTTGATTTTTTTGTTTGTTTGTAGCATTCTTTATTAACTTCAGAGAAACTGTTGTGCAATTAATAGTTGATTGAATTTGATCAATAAGGACCTTGACCTAAATTTAAAATTTTATGATTAATTTTTCTCATCTTGAAAAATGAGGAAAAAAATTGTACTTGAAAATTGTATCCTTCACGAATAAAATGTTTCCCTTGAAGAATTTTTTTTAGTCCAATATCAAGCTCCAACGAGCTGCCTGCTCCATAAATGTTACCTAGTAGGATCAGATCCAATAAATCATGCTTCATTGAACAGCTCGCATTTAAATATTAGATATGTATGTATTTGATTATAATCCAGCCATGAAAAATAATTTGACAAAGATGCCCTGTGGAAACATCTAATTTAACAACCAGATAGATTTAACCAAAGGAAAAAACTCTGTATAATGCATCAAAGATGAAAGAGAAAGTCATAAAATATGTGAGCATGCAATTTGCTATTTTCATTTAGTGAGAATTTGAAAAAAATTAATCCTCAAACATAATTTTAGAAGTTGTTAAGATTGATAGACAACAAAATCTGACTTTCAATTTTTTTTTTTGGTTGTTGCATTTATTCTACTGTAATTTTATACATTTTGTAAGAACTTTGTAAGTTTATGGGTGCAAGCATAATATTCAACACAGCAAAATTAAATTCTGAACAAAATTTCTGAATGAATCAATTTTATTTCTCACCCCTACCCCACCCCACCCTACCCTACCCTACTTCACCTTGTACAGCTGGTCAAACTTGAATTACTACCCTCACAAGGATAAAAAAAATATACACGATACATTTGATCTTTCTGGCTTATTTTAGCTACATTTCAACTACAATAGCAACATCATTTAATGTTTGTATGCTTAGTCCACAAACTCATTTTGTGTCCATTTCGAACAAAGAAAACCTTAAGGTCATTCTTACGAAATCTCTCTCTCTCTCTCTGATAATGCTCCGTCAATATCATACAATGTCTCTGTTCTGAAATATTCTTGAAAGCATAATACATAACAACATCAAAATACAACTATTTTCAGTTTGCTACATCCACTGTATCCTTTAAAATACTAATGATGACAGACTCTGCCTAAAATAACCAAATGCTAACATGTTTAAAAGATTTTCCTACAAATAAACTATTACTCTGCCTTAACAGTGATCCGAGTTACAGCTTATTTGTCAATGGTGATCTTAGGAATTAATTAGTATTATCCAAATATGCATACGATAACTAAAACAATAACATGTGAGGAGCGTTATCATGTCACTATTAATTCCTACCGCAGTGCTTTGAATGATAGCGATGGTGATTTCCTCGTAACAAACAACCCAAAATAAAGCGAATACTAGACTATAAACAAGACTTAATCCAGAAGTAATTACAATTTTAGCTTTTACGCTGTAGTATTTTCTTCTCCTCCCATACACCCTCTAGATCTAATTTTGTTCTGCTATGGCCTTTGTAAACAAGGTACAGACGTCATCGGCTTTTTTGGACTCCATTGATTCTTTTGGAATATATTGCTGCTGTGGACCTATTTAACCTTTACTACCCTCCTACATGTACTTTACACAGTTGTAATAAAATAATAAAAAAAACTCTCAATTACATCTTTTTTCTATCTCACTCTCCCTCTCTCTGTGTTTGTAAGGTATTTCATAATACCCACAGCATCCTTTACACAGTCCCTAAATTGTAATCACCCTATCTGAATTATGGATAGTCATCTCTCATACCTTAAAGATGCATATCAAATGAAATATAGGAAATGTGAAGAAGAATTTTTTTCCACAAGCAATAAATATGCAACTACTGGGGGGAAAAAATTAAAGTTTAAAGAACTAGAACTGGCAAATATTCAGAACTCTATATTATTTGCTCATATGTTAAGATTTCTAAATACACTAGCTAATCCAATATTCAAGCCTAGATGTTAATAATGTGGCATAGCAAAAGGGAGATAACTCTTATATTTTTAATCTGATTGTCAAAGATAAAAGAGAGAACAATAGGAAAGAGACATACTGTTAGAGTTGCATCCCTTGTTGTTACTGCCTCTCTTCTGTCTCTGGTGTTTAGCTGAACTCTTTCTTCTCCTCCCTGCATCTTCACTCCCACAAGATCCAGAATATTCTATTACAAAAAATAATATGCTGGACAAGCTCTTTGTGAATTTGAGCCAATTTTGTGAAAATATGTGTAACATCTAGAGAAATATAATCAGCTTTTTTCTCTGAATAACAACTATTTTTTGGCATATTTCTTTTCAGAAATGAGCATTTTTGGACAAATCTAATAATTTTAATTTGACTATTATGGGGGTATTCTAAAAACTTTTATTTCATTCTGCATATATATTCCTCTATCTAATATTTTCAAGGAATAATTAATCATTGATGCCTAAAATAATGTAATAATTAGGTCTTCAGGGTTAAAATTCTGCAACACATTCTAAATGAAATAAAAGGATCGACAGATAAATACACACAAAAAAACTGATTTAGTTAACTTCCTCTGAGTAAAAAATCAAATAAAGTGCTCTTAAAGAAGTACCATGTATTTGAGCAAATTTAAGTAGATCATTATTCTTCTGCCCACTCAACCCAAAATAAATTGCTTTCAAATATTTCTTCACAAATCATGGTTACTAAATCTGTCAATATTGCAAAGTTCTCCTGTATTCACCAACTCTTATCATTGAAATTAATCTATCATCCAAGAAAAGAATCTTCATAGCAAAGTTCAGTCAACTTTTCCTAAATGTCAAAGTAATTTAGCTACTAGTACAAATTATACATACATGTATATCTATTTTATTTCCAAAGCATGCTACTTTAGTACATGTATGTACATTATCTGACTCCATTACTGGACTTCTTGTTTCATTTCTGATGAATGCATGCATGGTATTTGAAAAAAATATTCATTGGTCACTTTTGTAACAATAGTCAAAGCAAAATAAAAACTGACTTGCATCAATTTCAAGGCCATATCTAGCTATTCATACATAGCTGATGAAACATATTTAAATCATTCCCAAATTTTTTTTCTCTTGATAGTCATTTATTTACTACTGTATATATTTTACAAAGAAAACACCAATTATCCTTAGCTAAATCTGTATTGCAGTGAAGCTGAAAATAGCAAATTGTCTATTCTCATTCCTCAATTTGTGATGAAAATAGAATAGAAGCTATGACCAAAAAAAAAAAAACCCCAAACAAAAACAAATTTGGCATATTGCATCATTATTCTTTGATGGAGACATTTTTGTGGAAATGAATATAGGTTCATCTTAGCCTTAAAGAGGTGCAGGACCTTGAACTGAAAAAAATCCATTCAATCAATTTTTTTCATATTTTGTATACTACTAATTTAGAATGTTTTACATATCTTAAAGCAGTTCTTTCATCACATTTCTTGACAAATTTGCTCCATGCCATGTGTGTATGACATTTTGATTCTTCATGTTTACAGGCCCATTACCAAGAACATAGCAGAAATTTTTAAGTACAAATAAAAAGATATACTGTAAATCACTTTTTATTCATGAGAACTTCATTTTCGCGTAATTACGCGAGTCTGTCTGCTCGTTAAAATTTTATTCTCACGTACATTTGTATTGTTAAGGACAAAAACCATAGCTCACGAAAAATTTGTCTCGCTAATATATACCAAATAATTATCTTGCGAGAATAAGGTGTCACAAAAATATAGTGATCTACAGTATATAAGGACATGTATTTCTTCAAATATTTTACAATATGAATTGAGTTAAACATTCTTTAAGCAAGATTTTTATTCCACACTGCACATGGATTGAATACATTTTTTTTCGAGACAACTTTAACGACGAAAAACTTGTTTGTGAAAAAATTCTGTCAATCAATTAACATCTGAATGAAAGTCCTTTATCTTAATAATTAACTGTACAAATATCGAAAGGTGAAGCTTACCCCAATGTTACACATGACATCGTTAAACATGATGTAATCATAATTAAAACGCTACAAGTTTACATTTTCCGAGTACAGAAAAAAAACTATGTAACAGAAAAGCCTTTGCAATCAATATAGATGAAAAAAAATTATGCTAATATCCAAGCAAAAATTATTATTGTGTTTCCTCTTTCACTAAATACCTCAAAATAGACTGACAATCACTTGTATCATATGATAAAGTTGACCATGTAATCAACGTGTTCTTGATCTTGCTGCACTTACAGAATTCAGAGAGGAAATACTTTATGTAATTTCATAAATTTTTACTCTAAGGTTGAAATTTCATAGTTTATGCAAACCCCCCCCCCCCCCCCCCCCCCACAATCACAGCTCCCTTGATATGTAATTAATTCATGGACAGCTACCTCGTCCTATTCTATTATCAGTAGAATTTGTAGTTTGCTGATTACTTAATTTTGTGGTCTACCTGGTTCAACCAAGAAACCAACAAAAATTGGTGTTCAATGAACAATGATGAAATTAGAATATTCCTCCCTTGCTTGGTGTTAAAGAGAACCAAGAATGTGTACCTGAACTGACTGGACTCTGTGACATCCATCGAATGTCATCATTACATCTGTCTCCCAAGTCGAGCACCATATCGTCATTATTGCCACCAGGTAATCGGATAATTGGTAAGGTCTTTGAACGCTGAAGCTCCCGGCTTCTCCGCCTTTAAATAGAAAAAAATAAAGGAATTAATATTTGGTTTGTACTAATTGTCTCTCTGATGAAATCTCTAAACACATTGGACTCTGATGTTAATGAAACACTGCAAGGTGAATGCTTTTTCTTTTGTAATTGAAGCTAGTGCATGTAACAGTTAGTTCAAATTTCCATAAAATTTTACATAAGAATCATTAAGAAATAAAGATGATATTAGAAAATACAATTGAAGCTTTTATATAAAGATTATTATGACCTAATTTTTTGTAAGGTTTGAAATTATATGCTTTACATCAGGTCTATATGTTTGAAAATCTCACAGGGGAGGGAGGTACAAATAATGAGAAATCTCAAATAAAGTACCAGCTTCATTAAACTCATCTCTCTGGTGTAAAATACAACAAATATCATATATACATCTTAGGGATGTTATTATATATATTAGGGATGACAAAATGAGCATACTTCAGTGATCACTTTTCTTTTTTTTTTCTTTTTCACCTAAAGCCTCACAGTTTCAGAATGTATGAATAGATCAATATTCCTAAACTTAAATTACAATGGGAAAGTTTTGTTTTGTTTTTATTCTTTTTATTGTCAGCAAGCACATGAAAAATATTAAATTATAAGAGCTCTGACCTCCCTCATATATTCCTATACTATTCCTGACACAGCGAATTCTGCCTGATCAAAATGGCTATTCATTTTCTTGGCTTTGGTAATCCTCTCAAAATGTTAATGATTTAGAGACTGACAGCAATCATTTTAAAGCAAATATAATGATAACAGAAGATAGACCCCAAGGATTTATCTGGTTTTTCCAAAGCCAATTACAGAACCAGTCTATCATCTAGTAGTCGACCCACTAGTGGGACCAGTCCCGAGTTTGATGAGGAAGAAAAATGAGGCTAAATTTAGGATCCACTGCAGCCTGCAGTCCATGGGTAGCATGCATTTATGACTGTTCTATATTCTGTATTGGTCTTTGTTAAGAAATATTGCTCTTCTACATGAAAAAAGTAGTAATAACTAAATAATAAGAAATGACAGGCTAGCAAATTACTTCTGGGATGTTGATAAATGTGAACATTGGTGACAAAGTGATGCATTTCAGCAAGTCTTTCCAATTCCATTTCTTCTAGAATTATTTTGCCCCATAATACCTTGTATTGCCATTGTTTGAAAAGGGAATAAATTTAAATTTATTTTTAGTAGATTTTATTTTTTCATGTTTAAATTTTGCATCGAGTTTTTAGTAGCCGGGGAATGAAAAAATCAGGCTGGTTTGATAGGGAAATTTGTGAAAAATATGTGTTTCAGCATTAATAAAATCTGTACAAGCTGTTTTACAAATGTCTGTAACAAATTTCTTTGAGTAGCCTATGTCCTTAACAGCCTCATTCCCTGCAAATTTAATTTGCTGGGGCAAAAAAAGTCGAGAATATTTCAAAGTGTACCTATACATATTTATTAAAAGCAAAAGTGCATTACATGTATTTCTGTCTCTTTTTATCACCACAGGAAAGTAAATGCATTTGAAAAATTCTAGGATTTCCATCAACCATGCAAAAAATTTACAATTTTTTTTTAATTACCAACTTTTAACATTATAATTCAAGATCTTAACAATTTTAAACTTGCATTATAATTTTCCTCCCCTCAAAATCTTTACATTTTAAACTTTACAAAAAAGGTGAACAGACTTCCTGAAGCTTTCTTATTCAAAACCGAGCAGCAAAAGCAATTAGTGTATATCATTCAGTGTTAACAATTATAAGTAAGAAACTTGGCCTAAACACTAAACAATAATGTTCGGGATCTTGATTCCCATTCCAATAATGACCCATACTACGTGAGATTTGGCAAAATTTCACTTTTTGACCTCCCTCTAACGCAAAATGCTGAGTGAGCTCAGGCACGTACACCACCAATGACCAAAACTTCCTTATTTATTTCCATCGTATATAGTTTCCAACATGTTCTCTGAGCCGAGATGGCATAAATTCATTAAAAAACGTATCAATAAATGCAGAACCACACCGAGAGGTGAGGAACGGTGCAAAGTAAGCTCCCTTGAGAGAAACGGTATAATTATCAATATCAAAATCAACCATACAGAAATGTGTCCAGAACATGAAATGAGAAAAGCTATATTTGAAAATATTCTATAGACTGATTGCCTGCAGAAACCAAATACTCCAAGGAAATTAGGCTTATGATAAACAGAACACAACTTATGAATTGGAAGTCCCAGTTTGACTTCCAATTTTTTTTTAATGAAAAAGAAAGTGAAAAGGATCGAATGCTAGAAATTAATTTCCAACATTCTACAAGCAAAAAGAAAATTAGAAAATCAAAACTAAGGAATGATAATCTGAATTAAACTTAAAATTTTGTTTTATCTATTCAAAATGAATGAAGGCAGAAGTTCTAGGCTTAGTTTATACATTTATGTCAATAGTCAACTGCAAACTTTTTACAAAGGAAAGCAATGACAGTTTCTCCCAATCCTTTAATTTCTTTAACATAACACATAGCAAGTAATTAAAATTTATTTTCACTAAATAACGAATGATTAGTAGTAAATCTTGCCAACTAATTTATATACATCATTTAGTCATATGCCAACTAGATATGATAATACTGACAAACCATTCATATAGCATAATCATAATTATCCAGTAAACTTTGCAGGAAAAAAAACATAAGCAAATTAACTCATCAATTAAAACCAGCTCATCTCAATCTGTCACTTACCAAATTGTTTTCTTAAATGATGTTCTTATCCGACTCAGCAATGGTATGTTCAAAAGTGTGCTCATTTTTGTTCCTTTATTTGAAAAAAGACCCTCCACAGCTTTGTCTTACACAGACTAATTTTGAAATCCAGTTTATAAAATAAAAAAAAAAAAAATGAAAAACACAGATCAAGAAATGTCAAGTGCTAACAAGTTCCTTGTTAAAGAATGAGAATTGACAGCTTCCAAAGCATTTTGTATTGATTGCAAATTGACAGAACTGAACAGTGCCTGGTAGGGATTCATAAATCAGAGTAACGCAGGACTCGACATCGTTTTATGTATAATGGACACATACCCTGCACCTCAAGAAGCCATTGAACTCCTACATCATCTACAACTTATCAAAGAATCGCCAATCAATCCGATTACTCCATAATGTGCTGTTGGCAAATAGTTTATTTGGACTAATAATTCAATAACGGAATTACCTTACTGAATGGAAATAAAAGATAATATATCAGCTGTGATCAATAATTGCACTAACATATAAAAGTATATGCTTTGCAAGTCATATACGTATATCAAATTAAAACTTTTTTATAGGAAAGTTTCGGTTGAAAATCTTGTTATTGTTGGATTTACGAACATCAAAATTTTATGAAACACCATTTACACAACATATAAAACTAATAAAATTTTCTACTTTAAAAAAAAAAAAAAGAAGAAAAATTAAGACACCAGAGCTCCAACTGATGACTATATATTAGAATAACTTTGCAGCTATACCTTTACTACACTGATTGAATTTTAGTTGATAAAATTAATTAATAGATCCGATACAAGAGACCTATAGGCTACAGGTGCAGATCCAGAAATTGAAGTTGGGGAGGGGGGGGGCACAAAAAGTAGGCAGGGAGTCTGGGGGCCACCTTGAGGCCCCCAATGGGTCCATGGCTAAGCCCTGGTGGGGGCCCAGGCGGCAAAACCCCAAGAAGCTCCTGGCCCCAAGACCATAAACTGAGAACAGACTAAGTCAAAATTTCAAATCAATATAACTTTTGAAATAATTTTGATAATGAAACAAAATTTTCATCATATGTTTGAACTTGAATATAATACAAACCTGCAAATTATTAAGCACATATATTGAATAAAACTCAAGATATTCAAAATCAAAATTTTGACTTAAGTCTGATCTCAGTTTATGGTCTTGGGGCCTGGATTTTAGAGATTTTGTACGGTAAAAGTGAGGTCTACCGAGTAGACATTTTTATATTTTCTCGACAAAACTATGATTTGACAATAAGACAATAGACTTTGACAATTTTAGATGGGCATGCGCTGGGTGCCCCCCCCCCAACCCCCCCTCTTAAATCCACCACTGGACTACAACACGTTTTCATCACAATGATGCTACAGAGAAAAGTAGTTCCAACTCGTACTTCATACATTCATTCTCAGGGACCAAGTGTGTGCTAGCTCTGACATTAACATCCAAATTCAAGGTCATATGCAGGCATTCTGTGGTTTTGAAAAGGTAATCTATTCTATAGATCAAATTTATCATTATTTTTTTCAGAAACTATTTTTTTATATATAAAATAATTCAAGACTGTCTTCGAAAAAAAGGGGGGGGGGGAGGAGGCATCTGTTTCTTTCTTTTCATAAAATACCTGTGAAAATGTATTTCAGACCAAAAATATTACATAGAATTTAAAAATTTCAAAATATTTGAAAATGGTTTGTTAGATCTATCATATATTAATTTCAATCAAATGAATCAACAACCAACTGCCACTCCTTATCTAGGATCTAAGATATACTATTTACATTTCAAAATCAAATTGCACCACAACTACCTCTGCAGAAATCCATGTGACCCTGATCTATGCTAGGCACATATATCTCAACATTAACAAGGAATTATTAAATGGTATAACTTGGTGCATCTTTGAGATAAGGCTGAATATAGCATCCAAATCCCTCTATCAGTACAGAAACAATTACCCAAGCGTTATCTGCTTCCCATAACATAATATGCATTTCTTTCAAATCTAATTTTGCCCTGCAAAGCTATAAAAATTGATGGGAGATCCCAGTGATGCTGAAAGTAATGAAATATAACACATGCAATCAAATTTGCCATGAACTCAAATTTGAAATTAGGAATACAGCACTAGAATGACCCTTAAAAATTGAACATGTTCTCCAAATTTAGCAAGGGTCAAGAAAATAACCTGCAATTCTTTCATAAATAGACTTGCAA